GTCTCGGCCTCCCAAAGTGTTTTTTTTACAGGCTTGAGCCACCGCGCCCGGCCTCAAGAGTTTTTTTAAAGTCCAATCATATTTCTTAAAAAAAACTTTCATTTTTTTAGTATTAAAAGACCTATTATATGATAGATTACTATTTTTTTTACACCTATGTAAATAATCAGGTCAAATCTAATGTTTTTTTCTTCTCAATGACTCTTATTGCATTGTCAACAGTGACTGATTTTGTTTTAAACAACAGGGGGACTGACCAGTGCTCTTTTTTTTTGCCCATTACTTACTCACTGACTTGGCTTGAATTTTTTTTAGTCAGGATTCCCTTCTCCCCACAAATTCCTAAATTTTTTTTTGCCCTAAGTTTAAGAAAGTAAATGCACAACTTTTTTTTTCATTCTGACCATCAGCTGACTGCAGAAAAAATAATTTTTTTAATAAAATGCTTTCCAGTTAAACAGTCCTGGTCATTTTTTTTGCTCACCCCTACCTATTTGGCCCACGCTCCCACAAAGTTCCTGCAAGCCCTGCTTAATTCTCCTTTCTATAAAATTTTTTTCTTTTTTGGTTTGATTTTGAAATGTGTTGCAGATTTTTTTTTGAGCACGTGCTTCTACTGCAAAAATCCTTTCAATTTTTTTCTCCCCTTACCTAAGTCTAGCTTTGTTTTTGCTTTTTGGGTTTGGTCACTTTTTTTTTTTTTTTTTTTTTTTTTTTTTTTGAGATGGAGTCTTGCTCTGTCACCCAGGCTGGAGTGTTTTTTTGCAGTCTCAGCTCACTGCAACCTCTGCCCCCTGGTTTTTTTCGATTCTCCTGCCTCAGCCTCCCAAGTAGCTTAGTTTTTTTGCACCCATCACCACACCCGGCTAATTTTTGTATTTTTTTTTAAGGCAGGTTTCACCATGTTGGCCAGGCTGGTCTTGAACTCCTAACTTCAAATGATCCACCCAACTCGGCCACCCTTTTTTTTGGGGTAACAGACGTGAGCCAACGCACCTGGCTTTTTTTTTTTTCTTCTTCATTTTTGGAGACAGAGTTTTGCTCTTTTTTTCAGGCTGGACTGCAGTGGTACAATCTGGGCTTAATTTTTTTTGCACCTCCCAGATTCAAGTGATTCTCCTGCCTCTTTTTTTCCAGGAGGTGGGATTACAGGCATCTGCCACCACATTTTTTTAATTTTTTTGTATTTTTACTAGAGACAGGGTTTTTTTTTTTCAGCCAGGCTGGTCTTGAACTGCTGACCTCAAGTTTTTTTTCCTCAAGTGATTCACCCACCTCGCCTCCAAAGTGTTTTTTTTACAGGTGTGAGCCACCATGCCCAGCCAAAGCCATTTTTTTTTTGATGGGTTTATTTGTAAGATTTTTTTAAGTGTTTTTTTAATATTATAGTTATGTAAAACTAGATTTTAGTTTTTTTTTTAAATGACTGATTTTCTTCAGTTATTAGTCTTTTGTTTTTTTCTTTTTTTTTTTTTTTGGCTCACTGACGCTCCGCGCTCGGGTTTACGCCCATTCTCCCTGGACTCAGCCTCCAAACAGTGGGACTTCAGGCGCCCGACACTCGCTCCAGTAGTTTTTTGTATTTTTTAGTAGAATGGGGGGTTCCCGTGTTAGCCAGGATGGTCTCAATTCTCCTGACTGTGATCCGTCTGCTCGGCTCCAAAGGCTGGGATTACAGGCTTGCGCCACGCGGGGCCTCAGAGGATTTTAAGTCCAATCATATTTATTAAAAGGAAAAATTCGCAAGGGGCGTATTAAAAGAGTATTAGATGTATGAATTACTATTTCTTGAACTATGTAAATTAACAGGTCATCTAATTGGAGTCAACTTTTCCAATGGATCTTATTGCTTGTTAACAGTGGACTTGTTTTGTTTTAAACAACAGACTTGACAGTTGCTCTTCAATTTGCCCATTTTATCATGATTGGTTATAAATTTAGTGCAGGGATTCCCTTCTCCCCATAATTCCTAAACCTTTGGCTGCTAAGTTAAGGAAAGTTAATGCACAACTTTTCCCTCATTCTGACCCATCACGCTGACTGCAGAAAAATAATAATAAATTAAATGCTTTCAGTTTAAAGGTTCCCT